TTTTTTTTTTAAATCTCATTGCTATCAGCAAATATAGCAAGTATATTATATTTTGCAAGACCATTGTTTTAAAGATATATACATTATAGATATAAAGAATATATATATCTATATTTTTCTCAGGAGATTGAGATATTATTTATATTTTTTTAAAAATTAAGATATATTGCAAAGAGAAATAATGAAAATGTATTCAATAGATTTGTCCTTTATAATTACACACTATAAAAGTATAGACAAAGAAAGCAAATAATAAAAGGAAGATAGAAGTAGATTAAAAATTTTTAATTCATCATTATCTTCAAATAAAACAAATGAAACACGTATGAAAAGGATAGAGATAAAAAAAGAATTAATTATCAGTGTCATTTCTTTTATATAAATACTTTTATAAAAATATTTTTTTCTAGAGATCATTAATCTTCAATTCTTATTTTGTTTTATCTTAAAGAAATATTTTTTCTACTCAAGAGATGGCACTGTTGGTCAATTCTTATTCTATTTCTATCTTTCTCCGAATATTTTTTGATGTTTTATTCATATATGTCTTATTTGCACTTTGGAGATGACACTGATTTCAATATTTTTACTATATTTTTTACCATATCTTTTCTTACTATTTTTTCTATACTTATTCTACAAAATTTATACACTTTAAAAATGATACCGATATTTGATTAAATCTATTTTTTTTTTACCTAATTCATTGATTAAAAATTTTAACAGAATTCGTATTATTTTATTTGACAAAAAAAAATACAAAAATTGTAAATGAAAGCTGGCAAGAAAAAATAAAAATAAGAAAATGCTTGCGATTTCTGTGATTTTATAATGTTTTTATTTTTTATCAAATTTTAATGAAATCATCAATGTTTCATTGTCCATATTGCATAAATATTAATATTATGCAACAAAAATAAACAATATATATAAATATATTATATATTTAATATATTATTTCAATTTTAAATATATTTATTTTAATATCATTATATTTAAATTTATTTTTATAAAAGAACTTCAGAGTTTCATTGTAAAAGAAAATGTGAATATTAAAATATTAAAATAATTTTTAATTTATAAATAATTCATAGCAATCAAAAATTTATAATTATAATCCATATATAATTTTGATAATATTCATTAATTTTATCAAAAAAATTATTTTTGAAATCTATTAACTTTATGAATTTTTATGATTGAATTGAATATAATTTATTATATATATAATTTAAATCAAAGAAAACATATTAAAAATTCTGATTTTTCAAAACATATGACACAAAATTCCATTAAATGCTATTACTTCTATGATGCAATTTTTTGAATATCATCAAGAAATAAAAAATAATTTCTGAAAAAAATATTATTTATTTAAAAATTATTAATATTATCGAAGCAAAATTAATAAAAAATAAAAAAGTAATTAGATAAGTAATTTTGAAAAAACTGATTAAGTAATATTTTAAATAATTTATATAATTAAATAATTAAAATTATTTAAAATATTACTTAAGAAAAAGAGACTAAATATTTAATTAACTAACAAATAAAATAATAAATTAAGTAATTAATGAAATGAATAATGTGTAAAATATGTAAATATAATAATTGGAATAATTGTAATGAATATAATATACTGTTAATAATTTTTCAAAATATTGACTTGTTTAATCCTACTATCCTTATCTTATTCTATTTTTTTGTTTTCTTTCTGTTCAAATTTAGCACAGATAATGCTTAGTTAAATGTTTATATAATATGATAAAAGAGATGATTTTGATATTCTACTGGTTACTATTCGGAAAAACATTACATGAAATTCTTTATTGAAAATTCTATGAAAAACTGTTTTATCTGATTATTTTAAAAATTTTTCAATATTTTAAACGATGGAAATTTTAATAACAGATATTGATGTAAAAGATATAAGATTTCCAACATCATTATTAGCAGACGGAAGTGATGCTATGGTATGTAATAATTTAATTTTGTTTTTTATGAAAAGATTATTATACATAGGTCAAATCGAAAATTCATTATTAACATCAATTGCAAAATGATATTAAATTATAGCACACTGATCCTGATTATTCTTGTGCATATGTTACTATTAAAACGAACAAAGGAATCGAAGGATATGGATTAACATTTACCTTAGGCAGAGGCACAGAAATTGGTATGTATATACATTTATGTAAAATATTCAATTATTATTATTATAAAATAAAATTATATTACTAAAAATATTTAAATATTACAAAAATATCCATAGTCGTACAAGCGTGTAAATCAATGTCTTATTTGGTAAAAGGAGAAAATGCCAATAATATTTTTACACACTTTGGAATATTTTGGAGAAAATTAACTAGTGAATCGCAATTAAGATGGGTAATACATGCAATATTATAAATAAAGATATAATAGAATTATTTATATGAAAAATAATATTACATAAATACGTAAGTATAAAATTTTTCATTTTTAAATTAAAGGCAATTAAAATGCAATAGATTGGTCCAGAAAAGGGTGTTATTCATCTCGCAACAGCTGCTATAATAAATGCATTGTGGGATTTATGGGCTAGAATAGAAAAAAAGCCAGTCTGGAAGCTGCTTACAGATTTGAGTCCCGAACAATTAATTTCTACGATTGATTTCAGATATATGTAAGTTTTATATATTTTATTAAATGAAGATTATTTTAAAACAAATTAATACTCGAAATAATTACATTTTTACAGTACCGATGTTATTACAAAAGAAGAAGCAATAAAATTATTGAAAGATAATCAAAAAGGTAAAGAAGAACGCGAAATAATATTACGAAAAAATGGATATCCGGCTTATACAACACAAGTGGGCTGGCTTGGATATAGCGATAGCAAAGTTAAGGAACTTTGTGCTAAATATTTAGCTCTTGGTTTCACATCTTTCAAGGCAAAGGTTGGCCAGAATTTAACAGATGACATAAGAAGATGTCAACTTATTCGTGACGTGATAGGATATGAAAATAAATTAATGGTAGATGCTAATCAAATATGGGATATAAATGAAGCAATCGAATGGATGAAACAATTGATCAAATTTAAACCAACTTGGATCGAAGAGCCAACATCTCCGGATGATGTGTTAGGACATGCAAAGATCGCGAACGAATTAAGACCACATGGTATTGGTGTTGCAACAGGTGAAATGTGCGCCAATCGCGTAATGTTTAAGCAACTGTTACAGGCAAAGGCAATTGATTATTGTCAAATCGATTCAGCTAGAATAGGAGGAATCAATGAAATATTATCTGTTTATTTGATGGCAAAAAAACTGAATGGTAACATAAATAAATAATAATTATTTTGTACATATTCCATCGTTCAATCTTTAAATATTTTATTAAAAAAACACTTTTTCACATTAGTTCCAGTATGTCCACATGCTGGTGGAGTAGGTTTATGTGAAATGGTGCAACATCTTCAGATGTGGGATTTTATTTGTTTGAATGCATCCATTGAAAATCGTGTGATAGAATATGTCGATCAACAACACGAGCATTTTGAACATCCTGTATATATTCAAAATGCTTGTTACATGCCACCTACAAATCCGGGATATTCCACCAAATTTACCGAGGATAGTATTAAAAATTATTCATATCCAAATGGAGAAAAATGGAAAAATATATATAAAAAAAATTCATCAAATCTTATACAAATCATATGATTAAAAAACATACAAAATCGAAAATGTATATGTATGATTATATATATTAATTAAAATATATATGATAATTTATGTTTTAATATAAATACATATTTGCAATATATCTCACAAAACAAATTAATTAAAGTTTGGATATTAAGTTATAACAATGCTATTCAAAGAACACAATTTTACTTTTTACCAAAAAAAATATCACAGTTACTGATCTTGATTTTAACCTTACCTGATATAATAAAATTTTAATAAATAGTTGACAAAATTTTATATTATTACTTATTATCTTCAAATTGAGACTTCATATAATTAATCTGTAAAATATAATATATAATAATAAATATATCATAAGATGATATGAAATATATGTTATAAATATAAAATACAATATTATATATTATGTATATTATAATATTATGTACTTATTATCTTGAAGTCGAGATTTCACATAATCAGTCTGTAAAATATAATAATAAATATCAATTTGAAATAAATACACTTATAAAATCAAAAAATTCATTATACATACGCTTACAAACCAACATGAACCAGGTTCATACATATATCTTTTATAAAATTTTATATTGGATATAGGAGAAATAACATGTAAATGTAAATGAGACACTGTATTAAATGGTGGCCAATGAAATCCTGTACGTGTAACTGCACGATCCAAACCTTGCTTTTGTAATATTATATCTATTGCGGCAAGCATTTTATCATCTAAAAGTTATTATTTTTTAAGCAATATATACAAAATATAAAATTAAATTTTTTCTATAAACTTACAAAGTTCAATATGTTCTGGTTTAAGTTGTTTTGCATTGCGTATATGTTCTTTTGGCAATATTAAATAATGATGCGTTGAAACTGGATGAATATCTTTAATACATGTCACATAATTATCCTAAAATAAATTTGTAAATAAAATAATGTAAAAAAATTTATTTATTATTATATAATTACCTATATACTATTTCTTTTAATAAGTATCAGAAATAAAATTTTCTGAGTTTCACCTGATGTTATGAGGTTATACATACATTTAATCATGTCATATTGTGTTAATAATTAATTCTTTCATACCTCATATATTTTTTCGCTTGGTTCTTTGTTATTAATGATATCGCAAAATATGCAACTTGTTCGAGACCCCATGACGGCAAAATTGCATACAATAAATAGCTAATGATAAACAAATTTTCAGAATATGTTAGGAAAAATTGATATAATTTTTTTTACTACATATATAGATATTTAATCATATGAAATATGGAAATATCTTATAACTTACTTATCTCTGTACATACATATTGCACATGTAAATGTTATATGCACATTACAATATATATAATATATATATATGTTATATGCACATTACTATATAATATATATACATATATAGTGTAAACATACAAATATATATATATATATAATTGTATTATGCTTATAATATAACTATATATCCTGATATCTTGTGAGCAAGATAAAAGTTACATTAACAAAATTATAAATAATTATTAAATAGAAAAAAATTAGAAGCAATATTTATTACATTTATATTATTTTAAAATTTTTGATAAAAATCAAATGTTTTTTTTATTTCGAGTTAAAAATAAATATTTGTATAATTAGACTTTCAAATTATCATTATTGATAATTAGGCTAGATTATAATAATAATAATTATAGAAAATAAATAATAAAATAATGGATAGTAAATATAAACATTTAATTTGATATCGCATTACTTTTTAATTTAAAATATATAAACTGTACATATATTTTTTTATAAGTAGCATATATTTATGTTTTTATATAATAATTGTGAGCATGACAAATTATTAATGGATGTAACACATTGTGTGGCAGTTTAGTCGAACAAGAAAAGTATCTTTATCTTCAAAAATCTTGTCTTCAGATTAAACTTGATGTATCTTCCTCTTAATTCATGTTTGTTTTTCGCATCTCTAAGAAAATCCGAAAATACTTTTTACATTCAATATTTTCTATTCAGTTCTTAAAGTTCATAAAATTTCATAAAATATAAAGGGAGAAAAAAACAATAGAAAATATATGTACGATATTTCTGAAAATAAATTCTAGACGAGATGTAACAGAATAATTTAATCGTACAATGATTTGAAAGTTCAAATCAATTAGATGTTTGTGTTTAGTTTAGTTTATATAAATGCAGAAAGATTTTTAATAAAATTTTTTTCTTATTTTTATCCATGATATCTTTTCTTTTTTCAATTTTCTGTTTTATTAAAACAGATATTGTATATAACAACGATTAATTGCGTGACAGATATCGAAATTGAATAATTTTTTTAAAAAAATGTGATCGACTAAGGAGACATAAAAATTACGATAATTGCATAAAAATCGATTGAAACGTCGAAGTTATTATCGAAGTTACTAATCGACTGTAGAATATTTAATATTCTCTCATATTGGCCCATTGTATCGGCAACTTATATGCTATGGTAGGTTTATCGGTATTATCCCGATACTGTACAACTTTTTTTTTTATAAATAATTCTTATAAATTATAATTAAATTCTACGTGTCCGATTCGACGTAACAGTTATACAATGTACATAATATTTGCTTATGATGATCCATCTGTAATACTGCACATCTCTCAATATATTTTTCGTCCATCATCTGGTCACTCTTCGCGACATCATCATGTTTCTGGAACTAATTCAATTCTGTTCCGGTTTTTCGATTATCATCGTATTATTTTACAATCCCACAAGTCTGCTTTCGGCATTAAATTGTTGAGAAGAATTTGTTCGTCAATCGTTTCTGTGATATAACACGCTTTTGGTCGATGACATTTATAGTCGTTTCATATTGTTTGGCTTCGTTCAAAGAGCGAATATCGATTGCAAAATTGCAGTAAGGAATTCGAGGATTTAAAATTAACTTAAACCATTCTAATAAAGAGGCAAGTTTCAGCTGCCTTGATACGGCATTTGATCCGGTACGGCAGACGAATGATTTTGACTTGGACTTTGATGGAAATGGGGACTGCTACCGTCTTGAGATATCTCACCAACCGTTGGTTCTTCGTATTTTCCTCTCTTAAAACGACCGTATAAAGAAGAGTACGGTAGGTTATAATGAATTGCTGCTTGATTAATACTCATATGACCTAACCTAAAAAATTACGAACAATCAAATCATATATTTCTTTAAAAATCACTCGATATCGTGAATAATATACAATATATCATCACATACGTTTACTGTCTATTTATATATTCGAGAAAAATAGATAAAAAAGAAAAAATCGTTATCTATAAATCAATAAGTACGAATAATTTTTACCTAACAGCTTCGAGAGCTTCAGTCATAGCATCTTCGCTCCATGGTGTAGGATTGCTTCTACTAAGTTCTATTCCTTCTCTTTTGCATCGACCGTACAACGTTCCCGTTGGTATTCCAAATTCCGTGGAGGCTCTTTGCACAGACGTTTGACCGGAACGTATCGCTTCGAGGGCGCGATCGAGATCAGCTGGTGACCAGGTAGTAGGACTGGCGTTGAAAGGTGCAGCCAATCTGATGCCTTCTCTTCTCGCGATTTTGTACAAGGTGCTCGATGGTATGCCAAACGCTTTTGAAGCTTTGTTCGCCGATATTGTGCCCGTTCGTAATGCATCAAGCGCATTGTTTAAACTCTCATCGCTCCATGATTTAGTAGGTCCATCCTTTTTTGGAGTATCGATGCCAAGCCGATGCGCTCTTTGCCACAAGGTCGTCGAGGGTATACCGAACGTTGCTAAAATGATCGCGAGACCACTGAATTAAATAGGAGAACGCTGAAAACAGACTAACCGTAGGCTCGAGTATATTAGCCGAGCGGAAAAAGATGTTGCGTGCTTTTGAATTACCAGAAGCTTTCGTAAGACTCATATCATGATTTCTTAAGGCTTCCAGAGCAGCATCCATATCCTCTTGAGTCCATGATTTTGAGCCATGGTGATGAGAGCTGGATTGTCCAGAATGCCCTCTTGAATTATTTTCGCCTGAATCCGAATGAACAGAACTTCCAGAGGGCATTAATCCAAGTAACTCTGGTGTGATCATCATCATATTATCACTATCAGCCGCGTTCTTTGAACTAACGCTCGCCCGATCCGACATGTGGCTATCGATATCGATCGTGTCCGACGAATCCATCGTATGCAACGTTTCGAATTTGATTTTTACACTGTCACAATTTTGAATGTCTGTAAACAGATTAAACGAAAAATACAATTCAAATAGATGTTGATTCAAATAGTCGCAATAATATCGAATAGCGACATTGTATAACAATTAACTTTTCTAATTTCTCGTTTATCCGACTGTTACAAACCAGATGTTTCTATCACCTCCATAACCTTCGTCAAAATCACCGTGGACGTTGTTCGATGAAAGGAATGCCATCGAAGGCAAAGTTGGCTGTACGTACTAAACGAGCTTGCGTGGGCTGTTATGAATCGAGCAACGTAAATCTAATCGCAACTAGTTAAGCCTGATTAGACCAATTATTTTGATTCCCTCCCTGTCTAATGACCGGCTATGGTTTTAATCCCCTCCATACGATTTACGCCGAGTTTACACGATTAAACAATAACATTGATACCTTGCCCGATCGTTAAACCGATAAGAATAACGATAACAATCGTATAACCGAAATGTATGTGACGCTATTCGATACAACTACAATCAACAACTGCACCTGTGGAATGATGATCTGGGTCTCTTAAATGGGTAATCGTAGTGCCTACCAACGTGGCACTTGGTGGTGTTGGTTGTGTTTCAGGTGGTAGGTCAACCTCTCCGGGATCCGGATGATGGCCATAATGTCCGAGGCCTGTATGACAAAACATGTCACCTTTTTATTTAAAGTGAAAACGATCTGTCCTCTGTGTTGCTATAAATCGGTAAGTTGCCCCACACCTAAAATCCATCATACGATCGTTGTAAGTTGATGAAAAAAAATTAAGGTGGGGGAAGGGAAGAGAGAATCTACTAGTAGTAGTTACGTTAATGCATGCTTTCCGTAAAAAAAATAATAATAATAATAATAATAATAATAATATTACGAGGAAAGAAAAAATTTTCAGGTGTGGGGCCCGTATCACTTTATCGACTACCTACCGTTGTTGTTATTGCTCGCACTGTTACCGTTGCCGTTGTCGTTAGCGCCGTTGTTGTTATTATTATTGTTATTATTGTTATTATTGCTAGTGGTGCTGGTGTTGCCGGTGGTAATGGTACTATTGTTACTGTTGCGTTGGCAAGTTTCCAAGACTACTGCTCCCGCTGTTGCCTCCGTGCACTCTTCATCTTCGGGTTGCCAGTCTATGTGGGTCTGTGAAATATCCGGTACGAATTTAGCGACGACCGTGATGAGATCGCGTCGCCTGTTTCAGAACGGTTTCAGAAACGATCGTTCGTTCTAATGGTTTTTCCCGTTCATCGAGACGATTAAGAGCTTACCTCTTTATGCTCCCAATTGTAATTTTCGTTCGATTCCTCCTCTTTGTATCGATCGTAATGTCTGGAATCCGTGGCACGAGGCTCGAACGTCGTTCTGGGCCTCTTGTATCTCGGATGATGCCTCTTCAGCTTGGTGAAATTTATCCTAGGTGTACCAGGCTCTCTCGGCGGTGAGCTCAAACTTACCGAGGGTGGGCCGTCTCTGCTTTCAGGCACCTCGCACAATCCTTTGATCTTTAGTTGATCGGCTGTTTTCAACAGTGACTGTAACATACACACACATATGGTCGTAAACAAATGTATTCGGTCAAACGTATCTTCTAACTGTCTTTGAGATCATATATATATATATATATATATCGACAGTGTAATGTGCAACTCGATCGATCCACGGATTTAAAGATTGATAAGAAAACGGATTAAATTAAATGAAATTTCGCACGATGAAAAATCAACGCGATTAAATTAATATTAGGAATCGAAGATATTTTGCTCTCGCGATAAAGAAACGTAAACGAAAGAAAGAGTCGTCGATGAAAAATGAAAGAAACGATATTACTAATCGTATCTCGAAATAAATAAGGGAAGAAAGGAAGAGAGACTCGCATATTTTAGGCAATAATCTCGTCGCCCTTACGGCTTTCCGTTTCAACGGATACGGTTTCATCCTGCGATTGCCCTCTGCGGTGGTACAGTCTAAAATCAGTGTTCGCGATCCAGTTTCGGCGTACGACGATTCACCAGCATGGTGCGTCGACCCGTATCGTGCAGTTCTCCTCGCGGCTACGACATTCACCCCACCTGTCTCCTCTTGATCTTAACCTTGAACCGGTACATAAGGGAAACTAAACAAGGAAGGAAAGGAGGAAGGGGAAGAAGAAAAGGTAGAGAGGAGATAAAGAAACACCTGTACGGAACGAACGAATGGAATAATCAAATTATAATAAACAAATTATTGCGAATTAAGAAAGATAAGTGATTCTATATTCATTCGTAAAAAAAAAAAAAAAACAAATCTAAATAACGAGAAACGAACAATAGTGATGTACATGGTGGAAACGTTTACGTTAAACGGTTAGAAACGTATATACAAAGTGGGAAAACAAAGTTAACGAGAAGAAGGGTTTCTTAGAAGGAAGATAAATGAAATGGAAGGAGAACGAAAGGAAAAGAGCGAACGGACAAGACCGAGTTCGCATTGAAGTTGAGGTTCTCTGTTCTTTAATCAAGGCAGGGGTGGTGCGATTAGGCGGGGTCGGCGAAGAGGCAGGCGGTATGAGAGCGGCGATGGTAGCGGCGGCGGTGGCGGTGGCGGTGGCGGCGGTAACGACGTGGCTAGGAGGGGGTGAGAAAGCAGAGGAAGAGTT